TCTCTGTGCTGCTACGTGTAGTAACACCCGAAGAGTGGTCATCTTCGGGGTGGGCGCGAAGGTCTGAAAGAAGTCAACTCCCTCGCGCTGACTGAAGCCTCTAGCCACGTAGCGCGCCTTGAAGACCGGAGGAGATCCCGGTGGCCGCTTCACCCTGTAGATCCACATGCCGTCGACTACGTTCGCCCCCGGAGGGGGAACCTCATCGACGTAGGTGCCTGTGGATCTGTAGGAGGCCATCTCTGCGTCCATGGCAGCTCTCCACTGAGAGGCCCAAGGCCCTGACACTGCCTCAGCGTAAGTGCGAGGAGTCGGAATGTCAAGGGCGTCGGGGTCACCCTCAGGGGCGAGGAGCATGGCACAGAGATGAGGGGAAGCGGCCGCCAGGAACTCTAGCTCAAACTGCCTGTCCTCTAGGGCGTCACAGCCAAGGGCAGACACACCCCCGACGGCCAGAGGACTGGAAGGAGGAGCTGCCACAAGAGCGGTGGCGAAGTCAAGGCGGCGGGTAGAGGCAAACTCAGTGACTGCGGCAGTAAGAGCGGACACAGAGGACACAGAGGCACGAGGGTGGGTAACAAGAGAGGCGAGAACACGAGAGAGAACAGGACGGTACGTGCGGTAGTAGTCAGTGACAGGAGAAGGAAGCGACGCAGTGAGAGCCGACTCAGGAGGAGACGGAAGCACAGACGGAGACGGACGAGGTGGACTAGAACGAAGTAAGGCAGTACGAAGGTCAGTGAAGGGAACAGGAGACGAGGGACGAGCACGAGGGGAGCGACGAGAGGCCCAAGTCTGAGAAGGAGGAGGAGACAACGAAGACTGAGAACGAGGGAAAACAGCGGGAGAGGGGTCAGGAGGAGGAAGCGGAGGACCAGAGACGGGAGGAGAGGGGGAGGAGGAAGGAGAGGGAGACGGGAGACCAAGGGTCCGAAGACCCGAGACAGGAGGAGGAGACGGCAGCAGCTGCTGCTGCTGCTGCTGCTGCTGCTGCCGCGGCTGCTGTGGCTGCTGCTGCTCCAGCGGCTGCTGCCTCTGCTGCTGCTCCTGCTGCTGCTCCTGCTGCTGTCGCTCCTGCTCCTCGAGCCGCTGCAACTCTCTCTCCTCTCTCTCCAACTCCAGCTGCTCCTCACGAGCACGGCGAACACGAGCCTGGAACCTGGTCGGGTAGGGGTGGGGGGAAGGAGTAGTGTCCGGGGCAGCGGCAGCCCCAGAGTCGACCTCCGAAGCACCAAGCACACCACCCCCAGAGGCAGCACCAACACCAGCTCCAGACCCAGGCTCTCCAGAAACCGAAGGGACACCCTCACCCCCAGACGCAGCACCCCCAGACTCCGCACCAGCACCCCCAGACTCCGCACGACCAGTACCAGCCCCCGGAAGACAAGAGTCCTCTGCAACCCGCGGCTCAGCTCCAACTCCAGCACCCCCAGAACCAGAGACCTGTACAGGGACAGTCGCAGGACCAACCTCCCGAGAGGGAGCACCTGCAGGAGGCGGCGAGGAAGACTGTGGGGAGGGAGGCTGTACAGGGGGGGCTACCGAAGGGGGAGGGCTAGCCTGAGACACACCAGACGGGGCTGGACCAGGGGGGGGAGGCTGTACCGGGGGAGCAGGCGGGGGAGCGGCTGTCAGGAAGAGGGGGGGAGGAGGAACCAGGAGACCTCGACTGGGGTACCTGACGTAGTACGGGGTGGACTCCTCGAAACGGACGTCACGGGAGTCAAAGAACCGGTGAGAGGGAGGGTGGTAAAAGGTGAAGTCAGAGGAGTCCTCAGGGAAACCAAGGAAGACACAAGGAACGGCGCGAGGCGAGAGCTTGTCCGCGGAGGTGTCGCGGACAAGAGCCAAGCACCCCCAGACACGAAACCTCGACGCGACACCAGGGGACCCTGTCCAAAGACTGGTCGGTGAAGCCTCCGGCCGAGAGACGCGTGGCCAGAGGTTCAGCTGGTGCGCGGCGTACCTGACTGCGTATGGCCACAGGAAATGGGGGGCACGGGCGTGAGTCAAGGAGGTGCGGGCAATCTCCATGACCAGGCCTATGCGACGCTCAGCAACCCCATTCTGCTGTGGGGACTCCGGAAGCGTCCAGGACTGACGAATGCCCTGTTCGCGACAGAATCCAGCGAGAATGCCGGAGCGAAACTCGCCCCCGCGGTCGGAGTGGAGACAGCTGACACGACGACCACGAGTGTCCTGGGTGGTAAGCAACCACCTGATCAGCGTAGAAGTCACCTCAGACTTCCTCGCCAGGGGGAACACTGTGGTATAGCGGGAGTAGTCGTCAACGACCACCAAAAAGAAACGCTCACGCTCAGGGCCAGGGCAAGGAGAGGGGCCCCAGACGTCCAAGTGCAGCGTCTCAAAAGGCTCGGTGGCCGGACGAAGGGAGGAGGAGTGAGGGGTGGCACGCAGCCTACCCTCGACGCAAGGACCGCACGGTGGTGCAAGGGACGGCGGCAGCGACGGCAAGACACGCGGGAGACCTAAGACCAGACGCTGACTAGACATAGCACGCAGACGTGGAAGAGAAGGGTGTCCCATCCGGTGGTGCCACAGAACGGTGGGGTGGGCAAGCGACCGACAGGAGCAAGACGCAGCGACTGGACTGGACGCGACAACCTGAGGGGACGGAACCACCTGGTGAGACGCAGGGAGGAGACTAGGGGGAGGGACAGGAACTGGGAGGAGTGGCTGCTGCGACGGCGGCCGCTGTGGCTGCGGCTGCTGCTGCTGCCGCTGCTGAGGCTGCTGCTGCTGCTGCTGCAGTCGCTGCTGAGCGCGCGGGCCAGTGTGAAGAGTGTAGAGACCGGAGCCCGGCTCAGCAGCAAAAGTGGCGAGAGGCTGGTAAGAGTCCCCGTCAACACACACCGCAGTCTCTCCAGAAGGCTCAAACCACACACCCACGTGCTGACTCACAAGGGGTCGCACGCCCACCAAGTTCCGGGAGAACGAGGGGACATGAAACCCAGTGAGAGACCCAGAAGGAGCAGCCGGACACGGCAAGGTGGTAGTGTGACGCGCGGTGACTGGTCCCGAAGTGGGATCAGCCAGCGCCACAGAAACAGGCGCAGGAAGAGGCGTAAGTGTCGTGCTGTCACGAAAGAAGCAGTGAGAGGCTCCAGAGTCCAGCGTGAACGACAGCGAACCGTCCTCTGAGGTAGCCGCTGGACTAGAGTCTACACAAGAACCTACACTAGCAACAGGCAACTGAGCAAGGCTAGCACCTAAGCTAACAACACCAGAGTAAGCAGAGTCAGAAACACTAGAGTCAACAACAGCATACATAGCATGAGGAGCACCAATCAGATCAACTAACTGCGCAGCGGACATGCCCCACAGAGCGGAGCCGTAGCGCTGAACCAGAGGAAGCCAGTCAAGGGCAGGACCGCCAACCCCGTAGGCCAACCGGACCGTGTCAGTGAGCTGAGCAAAGCACTGACCAGGGGGGTGAAAGCGGCCACAAGGGTGGCCCCGACGAGGACCTGTCAGAACCTGATAGGTGCAGGGAGGGTAAGCAGCACCACGCTGGGGCTGACGCAGCCCCGACCCCGGAGCCAGCTGCTGACGCTGCTGCTGCTGAGGCTGCTGGGAGGAGAGGGGCTGCTGCTGCTGCTGAAGCCGCTGCTGACGCTGAGCCTGGTACCACGCCGCTGCTCCACCTAGCGGGGCCGGCAGTACAGGAGACGACTGACGAGCTCGGGTGTCGCCACCACCAGCAGGCGCAGTGGAGTCACCAGCCGCTGCACGAGAGGTCTCTCCAGAGTCAGCATAGACGACTGCATTTGCACAAATATGTGACAACAGTACATTTGTTTTTCCCCAAATATTTACACTACAGTAATATTAGCTTGGCTGCCAGTACTCCTCTTCTCTTACTAAACCAATACTGGCTGCCAATAACTTGTGTACAGACACATTCTTCTTTCAACCACTGCCTCAAAACTGCCTCTCAAAGATGATTGCCTTCTGTTACCTAGTATCTCCATACCCCTGCCATCATGCCCTTCTAACCATGGCCGTTTTTATGAACTCTGTAGTTATTTCCTAACCATAGTGTCAGTGCGCGGCGGGCACAGCATGGCTTTAACTCGCTTCACGGGCGGCAGCGCGAACAGCTCGTCGCACGCGCCGCTCCCGGCGAGAGTGCCGGCGCAGGAGACGGCGGTGGAGAGGAGGAAGAAGGACCCGCAGATGACGTTGAAGATAGACGTGCCTCCCAGCGCCATGGCGCGACGTCGAATGACGGAATACGAATGGGTGGAGACCGGCGAAGAGGGGTGTGACGTGACGTCTGCTGCGAAAGAATTTGACACGAGGATGCTACAGTGAACACGACGGCAATCCCAATGGATCCAAGAACGGGGCTTTCTCGAGCGTCGAGGTGAAACTATACGCGCATAACGGGCTGGCCGCCGAGACGGCCGACAGATGTCACGAGTGCAGTCGATTTACTTAAATCACGCGGGCCGCTAGTGGAAGCGACCAGCCGTCAACTGTGGAGGTCAAGCCTTTAATCAAACATGACACCGGAACTGACACTAAGTGAAGTTAGTCCAGTGTGAGGATGCTGCAGCCCGCAACTAATCGCATACCGGCCCGAGGCTACAACGTGAATCGAGCTATCGCTGTGCGTCCGTGAAAGGCGGGAGATCTGGCACTTCACTGTTCACTGTATGGTGCTTCCGAGAGTCCAAGATTTGGTCTGGGTCGGTTCAGGGCGGTTCTGAAATTCGCGACTTCCCTGATTGACAAAAACACTCATTCTTACTTTTCTGTGGCTTTATGCAAACGAGGCACTTTAAAAGCTGAATGTTTCCTGCACTCACAGAGCGCCACATACACACTGACGCGTGTTCCTAGCCCTACCTGCACCAACCTTGACGTGCCACTTCGAACAGTGCGATAAACCGTGCTTAGCCAGGTCAGCCTCGACATTTTCGGCAAAGCGAACCCAATCCTGTTTGCTCATTTCCATCTCCTCACAAGGCAAATTTATGATTTTGCTTGGATTCATTATCATTTCCCTCTACTTGCTTCCTCTCGGATTGCACCTCATCGTATCCTTTCGCACGCGTACTCGGCTTATGGCGGCGTCGCTTCTTGCTCCTGTCAGTTCTCAGATCGTCGCAATCTGTCGCACGCCCAGTCGCACATCCGTCGCAAATGCGGCCGAATGGGCACGACGAGAGTTAACTATGCGGCGTCGCCTCGTCTTCTGCTCCGCCCAGCCTCCAGCAAGCAACGCAGGAAACGACAAGGATAAAAGCGACAAAATTCAAGAACAACAACCCGACCCAGAACCCATCGTACCGCCTTCCGCGGCGTCATCTGCAGCGTCGTCTCCCGGGCGCGATGCGATAATGGCGGAGCTGGACCGCGCGTTGAACGGCGAGGAGTCGAAGGCGCTCTGGGCGGACCTCGAGTCCGCCGCGCTGCGCGTTTCCCGCGCGCGCGCGTCGTACGAGGAGATGGAGAAGAAGGAGAAGGAGCTGCTCGCGCTCAAGGCGGAGCTGGAAGCCGCCGCGCTGATGGAGGCGGAACTTGCGCAGGCGGATGCGCAGGTAAGCGGAAGACTTGCGCACTGGGAGACGGGGGGGGGAAACCGGAGGGGAAAAATGGGAGGGATTTGGATGTCGCTGAGCTGGTCGAGGAGGAAAAGGCGCAAGCGGATGCGCAAGCTGAACGGGGGACGCGAAGGGTAAGGGCAAGGAGAAGGAGGGGAAAGGGTGTGGATCAAGCGGAAAGAGGTGGGGGGTGTGGATGATGGATGGAGTAAACACCAATGAAACGAATCCCCTGTTCACATATAGTTACGCCTGTTCGTGTCACACTAGAGAAAATCATAATTCTTTCTAGCCGAATTTGGCCTGCGTGGCATTGCCATTCCCCAACACTATCTCCGCACTCCCATCTCCTCACCCCCTCCCCCCTTCCCGGTTACCCCTCGTCGCCCTTCCCTCCCGTGCCCTGAAGCATCCTCATGAATGCCACATTGTCGGCATCATTTTTTTAGGCGCCTCAAAAGCCTTCCCTCCCGTTTGAGTCAGCTCTTAAGGCGCCTCGAAAGCAGGCTCATAATCTCGCCTCTCCCGCCCTGTCCCGTTGTGCCAATCAGGTGGAGAAGCTAGAAGCTGAGGTGGCAGCAGCAGAGCAGGCAGCCAGGGCTGCCGGAGCAGCCCTCATCGAGGCTCGGGCAGGCGGCGGCTTCCGAACCAGCAGTGCAGGCTCGGGAGAACAAGCAGCAGGGAAATGGGCGGCGAGCACTGGCTCGATCGATGAGGACAAAGAACGAGAGCAATCAGCCAAGGCTGCTGCAGTTGCAGCTGTAGCAGGCACTGTAGCAGGCCTGCCATTCCTGCTGAGTCAGCGAGCACAGGAAGGAGGAACGGGATTAAGCTTCTTGGTCGCAGCAGCGGCGCTAGCTGCAACATGTGCACTGTTCGGTGTCACCTACCGGTACATAGTCCGGAAAGACGTGGGAAACATTCAGCTTAAAGCCGGGGCCGTTGGTGCGTTCGGGCTGGCGAGAGGGCTGGCTCAAGTGGACACCACATTCTCTCTTGTCAGCTCTGGTTCGGAAGGGATGGGCAACATTACGGATGGTGCCTTGGTGCCGGTGGCGCTTTCACTGCTGGAGGCAGGTGAGGGGGTGCTGGTGCTGGCACTTACAGCCACTGCGCTTGAATACTGCCTGCAGACAGGATTCCTGTCCACGTTCCCTGCTGAATCACCATCCTCTTCAGATTCACCTTCGAAATAAGAGGTTCTTATCGTACTGATTGGAAATTGTCCAACTGGAAATGTATAGTTTTTAGGCTTGGATGTGACTCTTCAAATGTTGGGTAGTATGTATTGTAGGGTTGTGTAAGCCTTGTTGGTTTAGCCCATGGGTGTTTTCATTCGGGGTTTTCCTTGCTGCCTCTTCCTGGCTACAAATCGATACTACCATATTTTTTTGGAAAGGATGAAGAAGATCCATCGTCTTATGATTTGAGATATTTCCAACATCCCATGTAAGTGTTGCAGTGAAGCTGCAACGTCGACTCGATATAAACACGCGGCCTTTCGACAATCCCAAGCCCAACCACCAACCGTCAGCTTATCTCCAATTTTCCCTCCACCCTCATCTCAGCTCGGTAGTTTCTGGACCAATGACCTTTCCCACCCCGCCATGACCATGACTGTTCGTGGTCAGGTAGGCTAGTTGACCTTTCTTTCGCGACATTGGCGTCGCATCGCATTGGCTTTGATCTGTCTTCCTCTCTTGCGCGACTCGGAAACCTTATATTCCCTAGTTGGCGGGTTAGGTGCTTACATCCCGCCGACGTCCTAGGTTGAATTATATGAGGCTTGCTCTATTGGTCCGTGCAGTCGCTTCATTTACTTTGATCTCTTGAGCAATTGACGCGCGTCAGATCGAGCGTAGCTCGCTTATTCTGCTTCCTCTTTACAATCGCTGAGAGATTTTTAAGGTTTTCCAAGAAACGCCATTTTGCGCCGTACGCTCCTTGGAGACCTTGACCGGTAACTGGTGGCTCGCGATTCTCGCTCCGCAGCCTTATGCCTGTGTCGCACTCTCGGCTGATACTAGGTAATGCAAAGCTCCTTTCATCGAAACCCTAGCGACTCGAGGGAGGGGAGCCCGAAGCGACTGCGCACCGAACCGGCATCATCAGTAGCAGTAGGAGCTACAGTCGCAACGTCAGAAACCCTAATTGCCGGCATTCCTGTTCCCCACCCGCCTGCGCATTCTATCTTCGCTAACGAGGCGTCCGGTATAAGCAATTCCGATACAGCGAAACATCTGGGTTCGGGAATGTCAGCCCCAACCAGGGGCGGTCCCCCCGCCCCTGGAACCGAAACCCACCCCGCTACAAATCATCAAAATCTCCAGTCTCACGCTCAGCATGCTTCACAACAGCACCAGCACCGAGGCACTGGAATGCCGGGCGACAAAGACGAACTCTCGCGAAACTTCCCCGTCGACGACATTGTGCAACATCCGTTACCCGGTTACGTTTCCCCGTCCGCGATCGCGTTCAGTCCCGACGATCAGATGATCTCGTACCTCTTTAGCGAAGAGGGTACCCTCACGAGGAAACTATTCGCGTACGAGTTAAAGACGGGTCAGCAGAAGCTATTAGTGGCTCCGCCGGGCGGCGGAGTCGACGAGGATAATCTTTCCATGGAGGAAAAATTAAGGCGCGAGAGGCAGCGGGAGCGCGGCTTGGGAATCACGCGCTATGATTGGTCCAAGAACGTGGCGGTTCCGCGGATCATGATTCCGCTGCCAGATGGCGTGAGTTAATTGGAACCTTCCTACTGGTGCCACCGCTGCAATTTGTCTGTACATTGAGAAACCTTCTTGCCTTTCCCGCCTCCCCACCTTCCCCCTGCCTCTCTCTTCGTATGACCCCATTTCCCCTGCAATGATCTTCCCCCTGCTTTTTATGCTCACACTCCCCCCCACCCCATCTCCTCCCCCCCTCTCCCCCCTCCTCCCTGCACCCCGCGCGCCGCAGGTGTACGTGCAGGACGGCATGGGCGCGGACCTGCGCCTGCGCATCCCGGGGGGCGCGTCCCCCATTCTGGACCCGCAGATCTCCCCCGACGGCTCCGCCATCGCGTTCGTGCGCGACGACGAGCTCTTCGTCGTCTCCACCACCGCGGGTGCTCCTAGACAGCTGACTTTTGGCGCAAAGGAAGCCAACAAGGTGCGGTTCAGTGCGAAGACTGAGTGTTTGGGTGGAATTGGGTATTGGGGTGGTGGAGTAGAGTGAGGATGCTTTCCCTTCTCACTGCCATGTCATTACGCGATTAATCCCTTCGTCTTTTCAAATTCCGTGTACATTCCTCTTTCGTTTGCATGCTTGTGCTTGGACTTGTGCGTGTGTGTGTGCCCCCTCTTGTGTGTATGTGTGCATCCGCATGCGTGCTTGGTGCTGTGCTGTGGCGATGGCAGGTGCACGGCTTGGCAGAGTACATCGCACAGGTAAGCCGCCCCTTTATCATTGCCTTTATCCACAGTCGCCTTAAACCCTGGCCAAGTAACGCCCTCACCAGTATCATCCCTTTTTTTTGTTATTCATGAATGAAACGCATGGATTTGTACAGTACACAAATGACAAAACCGTTATGAGTGACTCTGGATTCGTCGTTTGTTAGTTCACTCATAAGCAAGCCACCTTGCTTCTTTTAACTTAATTTTCCCGTCACATCCCGTCTGCTCAGTTGTCGAACAATTCCCCTCCTTCCCGTTTCCCTGTCTCCCCTCTCTCCTGCGCTCCCTCCCCCCTCCCCTCCTTCCTCCCGCCTCTCTCCTGCGCCCCCCCTCCCCCTCTCTCTCCTGCTCTCCGCTCTCCTTGCGAGGTCAGGAGGAGATGGAGCGGCGCAGTGGCTTCTGGTGGTCGCATGACAGCTCGCTCATCGCCTTCACGCAGACCGACGCCTCTTTCCCCAACCCGCCCCTCCTCTTTCTTAACCGCCCCACCCTTTTCCCCCTCTCCTTCTCTCCCCTCTTCCCATCTCTCTCCTACTCGCTCTCTCCCTCCTTGCTTTTCCCCCTTCTGACCCAACCCCACCCGTCCTGCCCATGGTGGTTTGGTTCCCCCAGGAGGAGATGGAGCGGCGCAGTGGCTTCTGGTGGTCGCATGACAGCTCGCTCATCGCCTTCACACAGACAGACGCCTCTCCCGTGCAGCTCCCCCTTCACATGCAGCCCCCTCTCCTGCCCGCGTCTCCCAGGCCTCCAGGCGGGGCCTGCGTGCCCCGTCCTGCCTGAATCCCCTTCCGCCTGTCTCCCTGCTCAGACCCCCTCCCCGGTTCCGCCCCCACTCTGCCTTTTGTGACCCTTTCTCTCCTCCGCAGGAGGAGATGGAGCGGCGCAGTGGCTTCTGGTGGTCGCACGACAGCTCGCTCATTGCCTTCACACAGACAGACGCCTCTGCTGTGCCGCTCTTCCGCATCCCCCACTGCACTCGCCCGCCTGTAGGGGCGGACTCTGAGGAGGAGCATGCATACCCCTTTGCAGGTATGGGACGGGTGCCAGGTTTGGGTCTCAGGTATGGTTTGCCGTTACCAGACTGGGGAGGAGCTTGGAAAATTAGGTTAAGTAGCAAGAAGAATCAGCTTGATTTGGTTCCCCAATTTCTGAAGTCTGTCCTCTTTCCGTTTTCTTGGGACATCCCTGTTCCAGTCACATCCTTTCTCCCTAACCCCTTATTTTTGTTGTGTTCGCCATTCCAAGCGTCCTCGTCCCTTCTGTCTCCACGTTCCAGGCCAGGCAAACGTGAGCGTGAGGCTCGGGGTCGTTCCCGTTGCTGGCGGCGAGGTTCGGTGGATGGATCTGCATTGCGGCTTGGCAGGCAGCAGCTTCGGTAGAACAAAAGGCAGCAGCAGAAGTGACAGAAGCAAGAGCAGCAGCGCTGGTACCGGTGCTGGTGATGGCAATGGCTCTGGCAATGGCAATGGCAATGGTGATGGTGAAGGGATGGGAGGAGACGCAAAACAGGATGCAGGAAAGAGAGGAGTTTTGCAGCAAGGAGTGGCAGCAGCAGGTAGCGCACAGGAGGGTGAAGCAGGGTCTGTAGCTTCGTGCCTTCCGGGAAGGGACACTCGGGAACCATCGCTTGCGGATAAAGGAGCAAGTGGGATCGGTACTGCTGGCAGTGATGGCAATGGCACAGCTGCTACAGTTGCAACTGCTGCTACAGCTGCTGCTGACGCTGGCGCTACTGACTCCTCAGACGACGATGAGGAGTACCTAGCGCGCGTGTCGTGGCTCCCAGACGGGCGTCTCTCCGCTCAGGTGCAGAACCGCCGTCAAACCCGCCTCAAACTCCTCCGCTTCGACCCCTCCACAGGCAGCAGGGACCTCGTTCTCACAGAATCCAACCCCCTCTGGGTGAACCTCCACGACTGCTTCACTCCCCTGGTGAAATCCGGGGGGGAGCTGCGGGGAGGGTTTCTGTGGGCGAGTGAGCGCACGGGGTTCCGGCACTTGTATCTGTATGCGGGGTCGGGCCGGTGTGTGGGGGCGGTGACAGGGGGAGAGTGGATGGTGGAGCAGGTAGCTGGGTTGGATGAGGGTGCTGGGTTGGTGTATTTCACTGGGACGATGGATAGTGCGCTGGAGAGTCATTTGTATGTGACGAGGCTGTTTGGGGGCGCGGAGGGGGGAGGAGGGGGTGTTGGGTTGGTGTCTGCGCTGGGTGCAGAGAAGCGTGATGCGCTTTCTCGTTATGAGCAGCAGCAGCAGCAACATGCAGTGCCGATGGTGTTAGATTCAGTGCAGCCCATAGCATCATCATCCCCATCAGCAGCAGCCGCAACAGGAGCAGCAGCAGCAGCTGGAGTAGCGTCACCACGTCTATCTGTCTCCAACCTATCACCACCACCAGCATCAGCAGCACCTGCAGCAGCATTACCACTCCATGCACCCTCCTCCTCCCTCGCCCCCACCGCCCTCTCCTCCTCAATCCCTCCCGCCCGCCCCATCCGCCTCACCCAGGGCCCGGGGCGGCACTTAGTCGTGCTGGACCACAGCCTGCAGCGCTTCGTTGACCTCGTTGACTCGCTTGACTCGCCGCCCGCCGTGCGCCTCTGCTGCCTCGCGTCGGGGCGGGTGCTCGCCGTGATCTTCCAGCAGCACTCCCCTAATCCCAGGGTGCAGCGGCTGCAGCTCAGGCCTCCGGAGCTCGTGCAGGTCACTGCTGCTGATGGGACGACACTGCATGGGGCCATTTACCGGTGAGTGCCAACTATCTTTGCTGTCACCACCTGCCTCGTTCTGGCAACTTCCTGCCGTGTGCCAGTGGGTAGAGGTGTGTGTGAGGGCGTGCTCCCGCCGTGCGCCTCTGCTGCCTGGCGTCGGGGCGAGTGCTCGCCGTGATCTTCCAGCAGCACTCGCCCAACCCTAGAGTGCAGCGGTTGCAGCTTAGACCGCCCGAATCGGTGAAAGTTACTGCTGCGGATGGGACGACACTGCATGGGGCTATTTACCGGTGAGTACCGTCTTTGGACAGCCTTTGGGGCGAATACAGCCACCGGACTCCCCTCCCTCTGGACGAGTGCTAGCGGTGGTCTTCCAGCAGCAGCACTCGCCTAACCCCAGGGTGCAGCGCTTGCAACTGAGGCCGCCTGAGCTCGTACAGGTCACCGCTGCCGATGGCACCACCCTGCACGGGGCTATCTACCGGTGAGTGTGCTGCCTGGTTCTTGCTGGTTCCGTGCACACACACAGCGTGTATGGCACCTTATCCGCTCTCGCCCACCTTCTCCCCGATCCCCTTCTTACTCTCCCCACCCTTCCAGCCCTAATCCGGCCATCCTCCACACGTGCAAACAGTGTGTGAGTCACCTCATGTCCTCTCTCCCACCAATTCACCCACCCCTCTCCCGCTCCCCACCCCCACCCTCTCTCTCCCCACTTGCAACCTCGGCCTGGCCACATTTGGCCCGCCACCCTACCGCACTGTTGTCAGTGTGTACGGGGGTCCGCACGTGCAGACGGTGTGAATGGCTCCTTATCCCCTCTCCCATCCTCTCTCGTACCCATCTCTCTCTCCTTGTGCAGCCCTGATCCGGCCATATTCGGCCCGCCACCCTATCGCACGGTGGTGAGTGTGTACGGGGGACCTCACGTGCAGACGGTGTGTGAGTCGTGGCTGTCAACAGTGGACATGCGCGCCCAGTTCCTGCGCGCTCGAGGCATGCTGGTGTGGAAGGTGAGTGAGGATGAGGCACAGATATCTAAAGGACTGAGAAACACTCACACAGGCATACGAACAGAGACAAACATACAGGCCAGGGTTGTCTCATGAGTCCTTGCATTCAACCTCCCAAGCCAGGGCCTCCATGGTAGTCGGACAGTCATCCAACTTCCCATATTTCCATTCCTCGCTCTCCCCCATGCATCTTCCTATCTATCTTTCATCTCCTCGCCAGCTTGACAATCGGGGCAGCAGTCGCCGGGGGCTCGCATTTGAAGGAGCCATAAAGTGCAACATGGGCGGCGTAGATGCTGACGACCAAGCGGCCGGTGTCCGTTGGCTTATCCAGCAGGGCCTCGCCGACCCAAACCGGATTGGGATATACGGGTGGAGCTACGGGGGGTACCTCTCAGCCATGTGCTTGGCTCGGTACCCGAGCCTGTTCCGCTGCGCCATTTCCGGAGCTCCGGTAACCGCGTGGGACGGTTACGACACGCACTACACAGAGCGTTACATGGGTCTGCCTGCAGAGCAGCCGACAGCATATGACCGGAGCTCTGTAATGCGGCACGTGGGTGGGATTCGAGGGAAGCTGCTGCTGGTGCATGGGATGATCGATGAGAATGTGCATTTCAGGCACACGGTGCGCCTGGTGCAGGCACTTACTACCGCTGCCAAGCAGTATGAGCTGCTGCTTTTTCCGGAGGAGAGGCACATGCCAAGAGGCCTCCGTGATCGGACGTATATGGAGGAGAGGATTTATGAGTTTTTGAGTAGAAATTTGTTGTGATATGTCGTGGATGTAGAGGCTGTTTAGCTGGCACACAGGTGGCAGGCTCAAGACTACACAGGATTTTCTAGATTGTTTTTAGACACCTTGTTACACAATTTGGAGGTGTTTCTATGTAGTATTGGGTTGGGGTTAGTGTATCTTTGCTTGACTTCCAAGCTTTTTTGTTGTTCCCTTGGGGTGTATCTTGATCTTTGGAGAAGGAACAAATTCCGGTCAGCCCAAAACCGTGCGAGCCTAACCAATTGGAAAACACGATCAATTCGAATCCTCAGGGGGCATCACATGCTCTGATCAACTTGTGCGCGACGAGCATGGCGCCCTGCATTTCACCCTGCAGTGCTGGTGGATAAGGTGTCATTACGATAAGGTGTACCTTGACCGCCTCTCAACCCCATGTCCACCCATCGTTCAACCAATCGATGAAGAGATTGGAGGGTGCGGCAATTTGAGAGGCAAGTAATATCGGAAAGTGAGGACGACGTGGCTCAGATTTCTGGTCAGAATTTAGATATTTCCAAAGGAGCCGGAAACTCTGAATGTACACGCCGCGTGCATTCATCCCTTCTAGAACCTTCGCCAACATTCTAGAATCAAGGGCAGCAAAACACGACGCTAGTTGGGCATCGATAAAAAAGGTCCTTGGATATTCCTCAGGACACCTCATGCTGCGTGACTTTTTGGCCTATCCCTTTCCCTGCTGGCCCTGCTTTTTCTTCTCATTGGTGTGGGCTGCAGATGGAAATTCGCCACTGCCAGGATGTCGTTTCGCGCCCAAACCGAGGGACAGGGCAAACATGGTCCATCCCAGAACTGCAGTGCACAGTACCACGGTAGGGGTACAGTACGACGGTTGCGCTGTGGGTGTTTGAAAGGTTTTTGACGACTGGGACTATGAAAAGTCTGCTCTCAAGGACCGACACGATCGCTGAGAAATTCGGATTCTATTCATGGGGTGGAAAGTCGGCAGCCACGAGACATTTACACAAGAGCGTAGCAGACCGTGTCAGAAGGGTAACTTCTGATTCAGAAATTTACCCGTTTGGACTTCCTTTCGCTTTGGCCTCATCTCTTGTCGCCCCAAGAGACGTCCTGACCTGGTTCGGTATCGTGTGATGGGAGGAGGTTGAGGTATGGAGGAAACTCTGGTCCGTGTTTCAAGAGCAGCCAATCATCCGCTGAACGCCGATCTTTTCGTCATCTCCTCCTCACGTGCTCCCCGGACCTAGAGGCTTGCAAGGGTGAACCTCATCAGCAAATGGTGGCTGACGTGTTAAAATATCAACCAACGCTTTTTCTCCAGTTGCAGTGCCTCTCGTCCCTCCCGTGCGCGAACTATAGTCTTCATTAATGACAGCTTTTGCCCCCTTCCTGAAAATGCTGCCCGTGGGCACCCAGCGAGAGCAAGCGGAGCACGGGGTGGGTGGCGCCAGTACAGGTGTACAGGGCGAGCTGCCCAGCGCCCGAGCCGATAAACAAATATCTTGCGGAGGCCAGCTCCGCATTGCACTTTCGTGCAGAAAAGGGAGGGAGGCACAACGAGTTTCCCTTTCCGACCGCGCGGAGCAATTTCTCAGCCCCTCTTCGAATTCCCTCCGGACCGCCATCATTGCATTTTATCCCTGTTTCGCGAGCCTGTACGCTACACAGCAAGCACAGCCTTCCCGCGCGACACGAATGTTGTCTTGAAAGCCTGCTGGAAGTGGCGGGTCTTTCGACCAGAAAAGCAGGGCAGCGCAACAGTTGCTGTATCGAGGTTCAAACTCCTTAGTCACCGAGATTTAGGAGGAAACACTCGGTGCTTTGCCGCACATTCACGACCGCATTCACCAAAGTGACTTAGGTGACGCTGGAGCGCTGGGACACACCAAGCTTATGTCCGGAAGGTTTTTTTCGAGGATTCTCGAACGAGGAGACTGGAACATCACGAAATCCTCTGACTCAGCGTCGAAGGACGCTACTTTGCCTAAGAGGGCCTCGCATACTCTGACGAGAATTCAAGACGCGTCTTTTGCTGTGAAAGCTCGCTGTGAATCACCCGTCAACTCTCTCGAATCCGCCTTCCAGCGGCATGTGTCAGCCCATCGCCCCCTTCGCGGCGGAGATTCTCCTCCGCCTCGGGCCCGCCGATACCGCCATTGGCTTCGCAGAGCGCGCCACGCGCGCTTCCCCCGTGGTAATGGTGACTGCGGATCCCGCAGGTCGCGGCGACGCTTCCTGTGTACCAGCTGGATCAGGGCAGCAGCCGCTGAGTCAGCGCGACGAGTCTGCCGCCGCTTGGTCCGCTGCGACGCCGCCGAGCCGGCGTGCCACGTCACGCGCCGCAGTATTACCGCAGAACTCTCCCGCAACGCCGTCACATGTGGCGCCGGGTTTAAAGACTTCGCAGAACCCTGTGTGCGGCGCGGTGCCGCCGCAGAATCCGCTGGCCGTGACTAGCATTAGCTCCCCAGCTGGCGGGGCCGCGTCGCCTGCGGCGCGGATTCAAACGGTCACTCCGGCGAATCATCGCATGCGACCAATCACACTTCAGGAGCTCAAGGAAAGCTTTCACCTGCCCATCAGCGAAGCTGCCCGAAAGGTAATTGACATTTGATTTCTTGTTACGCTCGCGCCTCGCTAGATCAAGAATCGTCAGCGCTGGCACAAAGTGGCCGTTTCTTCGACTGCGCGCCCTCTCTTGCTGCTCTCCTCCGCGTCTCCGCAGCCGTGCTGCGGACTCCTCTCTCTCACCTCGCCTTTCACTCATCCTCGTCTTCCCCCTCTTCCTCGCGTGTGTGCGCAGCTCGGCGTGTGCGTGACGGTGTTGAAACAGCAATGCCGCGAGCATGGCGTCGCCCGATGGCCGTTCCGCAAGGTACGGCGGCGTGGCGAACGGCATTGCGAGTTCCCATTTCCAACCTTTTGTTTTTGATACTGACAGGATGTGTTCCACTTACAAATTTGTCCCAAAATCTCTGCATGCTACAAATTTCTCCGCGTCACCTCTTCAGATCCATGCGCCCTATTCGCTGACTGTCCTTTTTTCTTCTCTCTCTCCTCCGCTCGCCCCCTTTCCCTCCCCCTCTTCCCCCATCAGATCCGCAAGCTAGATCACATGCTGTGCGCGCTCGAGGGCGCAGTCAACCGCCCGGGGGCGGCGAGCAGCAGCAAGCCCGCGCTAACGGCACAGCAGGCGCACACGGACCACCAGCGGAAGCGCAAGATTGGAGCGGTGAAGGAGACGTTGTCGGGGCTCTTAACGGATCCCAACTCCGCGGCGCACATGCGCCTCGGCAAGATTAAGTACAAGCGCTTCCGGCCATTCCTCGCGGAAGACGACCGGAACCTTCGCCCGCGGCCCTTGCACGCGTCCGCTCAACAGGTTCCCGCCTCCGCTGACGTTCCCGTCGACGCTGACATTGACGCTGACGTTAACGTTGACGTTGACGCCAGCGAATCCAATCCCGGGGATCGCAACCCTCATGCTGACGTTGACCGTTGCCATGCTGGCGCTGGCGCTGGCGCTGACGCTAGCGTTGACGCACTACCGAGACCGGACTTTGACATGAACGAGTTGCCTTGTAGCGAGGACGATGGTACTGCTGCTGGCGCTCAGACACGTTGCGCGGGCGGCATTCGTTGCGCGGACTACAATGGTCGCGCGGACGACGACGTTGCGCGCGCGGACAGCATAAGTAGTACACGCATGGACGGCATAAGTACACGCGCGGACGGCATAAGTACACGCGCGGACGGCATTGCTCCCGAGTCCTGTTTCTCCACGCCGCTTTCCACGCCCACGTCCTCTCGCCGCCCGCCGCCCGTTAGCGCGCTTCCCCCTTTGTCGCTCGACCTAGGCAACGCGCTCCTACCATGCGTGCGCGCATGTGCTTTTGGCGGAGCACCCCCCTCCACTCTAGCTGTTTGCGCCAACCCCTTCGCCTCGCCGGTGCGCGGCCTACCGCCGCTTCCCCCGCTTCCGCTCGCGTCCCCGCTCTGCCTGGACGACGCGCCTGCTGCGGTCGCCGTGACAGCAGGCGAATCCGTTTCTTTATCTCAACTCGCTGCTCCTTCTTCCCAACACTTGCTACTGTCAACGCCACAGCCCTTAATTTCGTCGCAACCCGCCTATATATTCCGGCAGCAATCAGCAAGCCAAGCGGCCGCCCCTAGCTCTACGCACAGCAGCGCTGTGACGAATAGCAGCAGCAGCAGCGCCAGCACCGTTCTTGCCGTTAGTGCGACCCGCAGCAACGGCAGCAGTTGCAGCAGAAGCAGCGGGTGCGGTCGCGTCGGCTCAACCACTCTCGCGTTCTCGTTTTGCGGCGATCCGATTCTCCCTGCCCTTTCGGGTGACGCTGGTGGTGCTTCCAATAAACAAGCTACAGTGTTATCTCTAGACCTAGAACTTCAAACGCTTTTACAGAAACACAATCTGCACAATGCATTCCTGTAGTGGCCTTCCTGTATAGCACTTCGATTCCCTAGTATACTACCATATGCATAATACCATTCAAGCACGTTGTAAGGCTGCCTGCAGTTTTGTTGGAACTCTCAGATCAGAAATGACTTCAATCAAGACATGTTATGTGACCAGGGCCTCAGATTCGTTTGAGGGTACCCTGTGGACTCAGGGCAGTTTTTCAGGATTCCTAATTTGTCCTGAAATGTCAGGATTGACCAAGGGTGGGTATGCTGTAGGGTCAGTGCTGCTGTCAAATGTTGGTAGCCTGTAGTGAGATGTGTCTTTGGGGGTACGTATGTTAGAATAGTAGCCTTAGGGTTTGGGGTAGCGTGAGCGAGAGAAACAGGAAGGTGAGGTTCACTACAGCAAGGTTACAAGATATAGCAAAGAAAGGTGAGCACATTGGTGCACCACCACTGTAGCTACACTAGAACACACAGCAAGCAGGGTATATAACAAAACTTAACACACCCCCTTAACCTGCTTGCCGTGATAACTAGTACAGGTACACGTGGCGCAGCGGAAGAGGGTAGAGAGGTTAGGAAGGAGGAGGAGGTGAGAGGAGAGGAGAGGAGAGGAGAGGAGGGAAGAGAGAGAGGGATGAGGAGAGGTGGGGGGCCAGGAGCGGCGGACCCGCTTACGAACCTCTATTTACCAAGGGGGGTTGGGGAGGAGTGAGGGAAAAGGAGAGAAGGTGGGGGGCCAGGAGTGGCGGACCCTCTTAAGAACCTTCAGAAGGTGGGGGGCCAGGAGCGGCGGACCCTCTTAAGAACCTTCAGAACTCAACTCAACTCAACCACCCCCCTTTAACCTCACTCCATGAATCTGCCATCCCCCCAATGCTCACCCTCACACTCCAGTCAACTTCACTATCACCACCCCCTCACCTTCTGCACTTCTCTCCCCCCCCCCCCCCTTCTCTACGGCGACAATCCCTGCAGTAAGAGAGAGGGGAGGGACGGGCTGCAGGCAGCTCACACACGCCACCCACACATCTCCCCCTCCTCCCTCCCCACGACGGAAGCAGCGGAAGGGAGGGCGGGCGGGGGGGCGGGGCGGCGGTAGCTGCTGCTGGCGCTGGCGGTGGCGCTGGCTGGTGCGCAGGCGCGAGCGGCTGGCCGCGGTGGTGGCGTCCGCGCTGACGGGCCACGCTCGCGCTGGCGCCTGCGGTCCGGGCTGGCGCGGGCGCTGGCGTCCATGCAGGTGCTGGCGCCCGCCGGCGCTGGCGTCCGCGGCGACGAAACGGGGGGCCCCGGCGCGTCGAAACGGGTGGCCTCGGGGCGACGAAACGAGGGGGGGCCGCGGGGCGACGAAACGGGGGGGCCGCGGGGCGACGAATCGGGGGCCGCGGGGCGACGAAATGGGGGGCCGCGGGGCGACGAATCAGGGGCCGCGGGGCGACGAAATGGGGGGCCGCGGGGCGACGAATCAGACGGGACGAAGAGCGCGACGGGACGAAGAAAATAGCGCATTTCGCGCTGTTGTACGGGCGGGCCCATAATTCTTGAAAAAAAAGGGAAGGTTCCGGGAAAGAACCTGCTCTGTACCATGTTAGAATAGTAGCCTTAGGGTTTGGGGTAGCGTGAGCGAGAGAAACAGGAAGGTGAGGTTCACTACAGCAAGGTTACAAGATATAGCAAAGAAAGGTGAGCACATTGGTGCACCACCACTGTAGCTACACTAGAACACACAGCAAGCAGGGTATATAACAAAACTTAACAGTATGTTAGGGTTTGCTACTTGTACCCCAACCACCATCAATGAAACAACACTTCCGATCTTGAGATGGTATCACCTAGGTTAGGATCCTGTAGGATCCCGTTCCTCCCGACCTCGTTCGTATCGCCCGAGCCTGTCTCCCTCTCTCGTATTACTTACGCACGTCTTGCCCGAGCCTAGCGCCGGCCCGCTCTCTTCCCGTTCCTTCGTTACCGCACGTTCCGCCGATCCCCTACTCGAGTAGCGTAGCGACCTTCCTCCCCCCTGCTGGCCCATCGCGTTTTCCCCCCTCCGAGGCCCGTCGAGTCGCGTTTTTTTCCCCCCGCTGCCCGTCGAGTCGCGTTTTTCCCCCCGCTGCCCGTCGAGTCGCGTTTCCCCCCTTGCTGCCCGTCGAATCGCGCTCTCCCCGCCCGTCGTCCCGTCGCCCGTCCCCCCCTTACGCGCGCCACCGCTGCGCATTCCCCCGTCGCCCGCCGCAGCCTGCGCCCGTCGCCGCGGCGCCCGCCGTCGCTGCCCGCCGCGGCGCCCGACGTCGCGCCCGCAGCCTGCGCCCGTCGCCGCGGCGCCCGCCTTCGCTGCTCGTCGCGTCGCGCGCGCGACTGCCCTTAGCCCCCGCGCGGCTCCCCCTTAACGCCCGCCCCCGCGCCCGCACGGCTGCCCTTAGCCCCCGCGCGGCTGCCCCTTAACGTCCGCCCCCGCGCCCGCGCGGCTGCCCTTAGCCCCCGTGCGGCTGCCCCTTAACCCCCCCCCCCCCGTTTAGCTGCGCCTCTACCTCGTTTAGGGTTTCACGCTTCGCCCTTTGCCCGCCCGATTTTCGCCACGCCATCTCGTTTAGGGTTTCCTGCCTCCGCTTTTCCGTCGGTTTTAACGATGGCGACTCCGCGTGTTCTTCGCTTCGACGCTGACGGTAGACCCCTTGACTTTTCGCTCTGGCTTCTGCGCGCTCGCCGTCAGTTGGAGAGTCAGGTCCAGTCAGGCGAGACCCTCTGGGCGCACGCTGCTGGTGCCCTCCCTGCGCCCCCCGACCCTACGCCTTTAGGTCCTGCCCCTGACGACGCCGCTAGAGCTCGCTTCGCTAGCCAGCGCGCTGACCTGACAGCCTGGACGTCGCGTGACGCTGCGGCCTGCATCGCGCTCAGCACCCTTCTCCCCGAGTCTGAGGAGGCTCACTTTGCTCAGGTTCGCACTGCTGCTGAGTACCTGACTGCGATTAAGGCCCGCTACTCCACTCCTGCTGCTGTCTCTCTTGGCCGCCTTTTCCTCCCGTTCCTGTTCCCTGATCTCGCCTCTTTTGAGCGCTCTGCTGACTTGATTGCTCACCTCCGCTCGCTCGACTCTAGTTACCGCGCTGCTTGCACTGAGGCCCAGCTCGCACTGCTTCCTCCTCCCATGGCGATTACTATCTATTTTATCGCCACCAGCCTCCCCGACCGCCTTGCCTCCGTTCGTGACGCGCTTCTCCTGAAGCACCCTAGTGAGCTCACTGTTGACGTCCTTGAGTCTGCTCTCAAGGACGTCGAGAGCAACCTCCGCTCCGTCGCCGCTGCCTCTGGTGCTGTGCCCCCTCCGCTCTTCCACGGGTGCACAGTTCCGCAGTTGCCCACCTTTACTGCCTCTCTCGCCACTGCCGCTACTGACGCGACCGCAGCTGCTGTTACGACTTCGTCGCGGTCCCGCGGTAGGGGTGGCAAGAGGGGCGGTGCTGGTGGCGGCGTTGGTGGAGGCGGAGGTAGTGGGGGTGGCGTTGCGACTGGCGGTGGTGGGAGTGCAGGGCCTGGAGAGACGTCTCGTGCAGCGACCGGTGACTCCACTGCGACTGCTGGTGGTGGCGACGCCCGCGTTCGTCAGTCGCCCCCTGTACTGCCAGCCCCGGTGGGTGGGGCAGCGGCGTGGTACCGGGCCCAGCGTCAGCAGCAGCTTCAGCAGCAGCAGCAGCCCCTCTCCTCCCAGCAGCCTCCGCAGCAGCAGCGGCCGCAGCTGGCTTCGGGGTCGGGGCCGCGTCAGCCGCAGCGTGGTGCTGTTTACCCTCCCTGCGCCTATCAGGTTCTGACAGGTGCTCGCCGGGGCCACCCTTGTGGCCGCCTTCACCCCCCTGGTCAGTGTTTTGCTCAGCTCACTG